GCACAAGAGCCTATTAAAATTGTGTAGATCATTCTAGAATTGATTTCCAAATTCGGTAAAAACCCTGACTGTAATATTGAACTTTTAAATAACCAAACTATTTTAGAAAGTTTCACGAAACTTTTTTAGTGATTAATTGTGGCAAACCCCAACCGGACAACCAATCATAATCAAGTGTCTCAACCCGAATTCAAAAAAAAAAAGATCTTTTTATTTTTTTAAAAAATAATGGTTTTAGATACTAATGTGTGGGATACAAAGTCACAACAATTTCATGGTGGGCAAGATTGGAAATTTTTAGATAATTTTGTAGAAGATTTTTCAGTTACTACTAATGCATTAGGTACACCAAAAGAAGCTTTGGAAGCATCAAAAGATTCAGTAGGTTACATATATAAATATTTAAATATGTAATTTCCGTTATTTTCATTTTCGTTTTCATTTTTTTCAATTTTCTGCCTTTTTTTTACTTTATTTATTTCCTGTTTTATTAATTAATTCGTAACATGATAATATTTATTTAGTGACGATGCGCCCATATGGGCGCATGAACCCAAATGGGCTCATGAATCCAAACAGGCATGTGAACCCATATGGGCTCCAGAAACCAAATGGGCTTATAATTAACTAACATGTATATAAAGAACTCGAATTTGACCTACTGTAAAAATAACTTTCTTACAAGTTAATTAGTTTCAACTAAGGAAAACTTCTTACAAGTTAATTAGTTTCAACTAAGGAAAACTTTGTCATAAGTTAATTAGTTTCGACTAAGAAAAACTAAGTAAAACTAAATAAATAAAATAGTAAATATTTTATTTTATTTAAACTATTATCTTTAAACAAAATTATTCACTAATCCAAAATCAATTTGTTGATAACCTATTCATTCTGATCCACACATAAATAAAAATAATTGTTATCACCAATTAAAAATATGCTCTCCCAAAATTAATCGGTGACATATACAGTGTGTTGCAAAAAAAATGGCACCTGCATTCTAACTAAAGAAGTAATAAAAATCATATAATAAAAATTATATCAAAGGATCAGACAATTTTGAATTATCACATACACAGACAGACTCGATAAGTCAGCCACATAATTTATACTATTGAGTACTTTAAACAATTGATTACTGCGGGCTGACTTATCGAGTCTGTCTGTGTATAGAAATTTTGAAATGCATTATTATTATGTAGGCTTTAGAGCAATTGTTATATTAAATTTCTTTTTCCAAAAATAATTGAATTTACTTTATTTTTAATTGATAAAATTCTAGAAAATTTGGAAGCATGGGCTTTTATATAAATAATCTCTAGAAATTGAGCTGCAAAATAGCTGTATTTTTTTTTTTTGTTATTATTATGTATGTTTTTGTTTAATTGTTACCTTTGAGATGTCTAATACTATTTGGTGGAAGTCAAAAAATTTAGTGGCATCTAAAAAAAAGATGCAAATCAACTTTACAAAAAAAATGGTAATAGTAATCCATAAAAAATTTTTTTTATTTAACAAACTATTCAATAGGCTTTTAAATGAATGTAATTTTATTAAATTATCTTTTGTAGTTGTTGAGATATGCTATTCTTCATCAGTGCCATTTTTTTCAATATGCAACAAGTATCACATAAACTCATATATGAATTGATTGATGAATTTTTCCAGAGTCCAAATTTGGTATATTCCCTGACTGCAGAGTTGGCACTCCCATTGGACTGGACCATTGGACCTATTGGACCATTGGGCTGGACATGTCCAGGTCCAATGCTCATTGGACATATCAATGGACATAATGCAAATTTATGAAAAAAAAATTTTTTAATTGATGAAAAATATTAAAATAAAAAAATTTTATTTTTATTATCTAGAGTTTTGCATAAG